GATTTTTTTGCTTTGTTTTGTTTTTTGTTTTTTTGAATGTCCAGAGGACCAGATTGAACTTTTTTGGATTTTTCTACCTGGATTATTGAGCATGCATCAGGATATTCTGGACCTGTCCCAAAATGCAGACTTTTTGGCAATCTATATTTGATAACTTTTCTGGAGTACGTGGCAAAACTGTACACCCATCACCACTCATCTCACTGTTCGAGATGGTCCTGGTGGATATGTCCTTCAGCAAATGCGAGAAGGATGTGATTGCCTTTGGCTCTCAGTTTTTTCCCCTTGTTGTTATCGTTATAAAGTTCTGTTTAAAAAATCCATCCATCCATTATCTTTACCCGCTTATTCCATTTTGGGTCACGGGGGTCACCGGTGCCCATGTCCAGCAATCACTGTGCGAGGGGCGGGGTACACCCTGGACAGGTCGCAAGTCCATCACAGGGCCACATAGAGACATGTTTAAAAAAATGTAAAAAATAATTAAAAAAAACTCTTAAAAAAAAAAAAACTGTCATTTTTCATGAACTCAACATAGTCTTGTGTGGATACCAGTGTAACAGCAACACCTTTAATTTTATAACTGATCTGTACTTTTGTTGTAATCATTTCTGTTTTATTGCTCTCCTTCAATTATATCCCCTTGCTTTGCTGTATTCCCCCGCTGGGAGCAATTTATTGTAATATGCCTGTAATATGCAACCTTATCTCCTCGTTGATAGCGTCAAGTTGCTCTTGCAGCATGAGCGCAAGAGTCTGAGCGTCCGACTGGCCGCTGGGGGAGAGCAGAGCCGAGCTGACGTCGTCGTCCATGTCCGACTCGGCCTCGATGTCACTGCCAAGGAGGTGGCTGACACTACCACGCAGAGACGGGTAGTCCTGTTCAAACATCGCACACACCTAAACACGTACAGGAGCAAATATAAACAAAGCCCAAACAAGGTTAAAACAAAATTACATCTCACCATTTTTCATGAACACAGTGGGTTATTAAGCTTAAAGGCATACATGTAAAAAACACAATATGACTCTTGTGGAAATGTGAGAAGAAATGGATGAACAAGGAACTTACATCACACATCATGTCCAGCAGCAGGTGAGAGAGACAGGAATACAGAGCGTTAGTAGAGAATGGGAAGTAAGGTATGAGGATCATCACACACAGACATCCAAGTGCTGACGCTTACTAACAAGCAGACATGGACCTACATAAAGCGCTGACGGAGAGCTGGGGTTAGAAAAGCAGTTAACATGTGACTCTGTAAGTTCTGCTTTTAATGTAGGTGAACAACCTTAAAGAAACCATAATCAGCACCTTATTAGGGTCATCTCTTAGTGCTGACAGTCTGCCTTTCTGAGCCCGCCTGATCACTGTTGTGCTGTAGTGGCCATCTTGGCCCTCCACCACAGAGAAGCGGAGGTCGCTGGAGCTTCCCAAGTGAGACCTGTAGTTTTAAAGGAAGAACGTGAAGAACTCTGAACTGTGTAAAAACCTATGATGTTATGAGAAAGCTGAGAAAGATACCGAGGGTGAGCTCCATCTCCAAATGCTCCACTGCGGCGCTTCAGGTGGTCAATCTCGTTTCTCAGTTTATCGATCTCGCCAATCATTCGTTCCTGAAGAAGAGAGGGACATTCATGAATGTGGCAAAGATCATACAACACTTTTACTTTATAAATATTTAATTACAACAGTATACTAATAATAAAGCATGTCAGTACAGTGTGCAAAGTTTACTCTGTGTTACATTTATTGTTTGAACAGATGCTTGAAAGTCATTAGAGAAATAATACACCACCTTTCGTCAAACTTTGGATATGACAGGTGTCAGTCAAGAATGACATTAAATGCTATGGGAATGACCTCAGAGATAATCCAATTATCATTTGCCAACTATGTAACAGAAATGCTCTACTCAAGAATGATGCATTCCCACATATATGAAAAATAACCTTCCTTTAATGGCTTGATCAAGTGTCTGCATCGATATATGGGAAAGAGCTACGGCACCTGGAATAATAAAATATAACTGTTATATCTGAGAGACTTTCATTTTTTGTTCTGCCCTCCCACAACTAAGTGAAAAATTATCCGGCTCCTGGTTCAATAAAAAGGTCTTAGTCTGAGAAACATACATCCTTTGTCTGCTCTGGGCCCTGTGAAAAATGAGCGGGAACTTTTTAGAAGCATGTGTGTGCGTGTGTTACCCTTTTGCAGTGTGTTGATGTGTACCTCACAAATTTATTTTACCTGATTCTCTCATTTTCATCTTTCACAATGACATACAAGTTTTTATAAACTGACTGCTATTTAGGAAATACCTTGCTTCTTTCTGTCTCGCTAAAAACCTCTCGACAGACTTTTACTTAAATATTTGTCATTACTGTACTGCAGAGTACCGGTAACATAATGAACCTCACAGCATTTGCAGTATTGAGACATTTATTGCATATTACTCTGCAACGTTTTATTAACCATCTGATTTAATAATGTTATTGATGAGATGGGCTACAATACTGAAATGAACAGCTCTCTTGTTTGTGAAACCCCAGTATCCATCTACGTTTCACCCGAGACACAGATCCAAGTTACTCACATCCTAAGTTACAAAACAATGATTTAAAAATAGAATTACATCGGTTAAAAGTGAATCTGTGATCAAGTTTTGTTTTGTAATAATGACAGCGCTTGGCTAGGCCATAAACGGACGAATTGATTACAAGGAAAGCAAGAAAGCCAAGGAATCAGATCACAGTCTGCAACCTTCGGTAGAAAAGTTTTGAAAACTTGATGTCCCAACACAAAAGAACAACCTATCAATTAACAATCACAAGGTAATCAAACATTTAGAAAATTCTGCCTCCAAAGAAGGCTCACTCTACACCTTTCATGTACACATATCTTTCAAGAAAGAAACAGTAACATTGCCAAACAATATCAACTTTGCAACATACAAACTATGACTACTGGAACACAAACTGGCAAAGAAGCAGACTTGAAAGAGAAGTATGTCGAGGCAATGAAGTCAACCATAGGTAAAGGGTATGCAGAAGAAGTCCCAGCTTCGGCACCTGACCGCAGCAATGGCAATTGTCTGGTACCTACCACATCATCCAGTGACTCAGTCACACAAGCCAGGAAAGGTGCGGGTCATCTTTGACTGCACAGCTAAATACGACGGAGTATCTCTCAGTGACATTGTCCACCAGAGACCAGACCTGACAAACAAATTAACAACTGTGTTGATTTGATTCTGACAAGGGCCTATTGCTATAATGGCAGACACGGCACGTTCAACCAGAAACGTGTAACTCCAGACCACAGAGATGTCCTGTGGTTCTTGTGGTGGGAGGACCATGATCCTAACCATGAGGTAGTTACTTACCGTATGACGTCCCACCTCTTTGGCGGACTGTGTTCTCCAAGTGCGCCAAGTTTTGCACATATGTATGATTCAGACACCATCTCAAATAAAACTTTTTCGTGTCCGATTGGCTGAATTCTTCTCACTCACCTGAACAAGCAGTTTATCTAGCAGCACAGTTGATCTACCTGCTCAGACAAAGAGGGTTTCACTTTCACACTTTCATTTCGGTTTAGTTAGTCGTTCACCAATTGTACTTTTGATGACCATCTGTTGAAGTCATCCGGGCTGGGATGTTGGATTCATTTCTTTTCCACAAGGGGGCTCTAAGGTACCATTGATTCTGAGTGACTTTGCAAATCCGGAAGTGACACTGACACCATTAAAAGAAGCCAGAGCTAAATAAGACCTGAGAAAACTTCTTCTTACTTACAATCAAAAACATTTCCCAATGTGGTGAGTTGTTTTAATCGCAATGTTAAACATCTGCAAAGTTGTGTAGATTAAGTTTAAACATTATACGTGATCAGAAAACCTTTTCTACATGGGTTTCAGGCGGATTAGCATAGAGCTAGTGGAAGATGCTAGCAGTTTGCTATTGGGTTTATTCTGAACATTAGCAGTGTAATAGTGCTTGTTTAGAGCACAGTTTTGTTTAATATTAAAATTCTAATGTATTCAAGAGATACATTATATGTGGTTTATATGCGATTTAAACCAAGCACAACTTTGGTCATTATTTGTTCAGTTGATTTACTTTGAAAGTCTAAAAAACTGTTTCTAAGTTTGTGTTTTGCGTGTTATAAATGCTAAATATTGTAATTTAAATTTTGTTACAGCTTCACCGGCTTTGCAGTGTTATTCATCAGGCAATAAACAATCACCACAACAACAATAACTGGAATTTATGTTATTCGTAACAGCCGCATTTATTAGCTCATCACTTTGGTCATGATTAAACCAATTTCTCCAAACAGGTTGTCCAAAGAGCTACCCACAACAGGTTAAATATTAATTGTTAATAATCTTTCCATAGAACCCCACTTCAAATTATTTTATTAATCTTTATTTATTTGTCAAAAAAGGTATTTGGCTTGTAAAAACCATCTGAAAAGTTTTATATCTGCTGCTCTATTGTGAAAGCTCAAGAAAACATTTTCTGTATCCTCATCCTAAACCTCAACATCACGTCTGTAAACTCACATTTGGAAAATAAAACAACAAAAAAAAACCTGATTTATCTTAGAAACAAGTCTTAAAGACAAACAAAGATTGACCTTTTAAGCTGCAATGAGCCAGTTTATGTTTGAAGGAAGTTGTTTTTAATAAGAAAATCCATCCATCATCATTTGATCTGAAATGAATGACTATAATGGATATAATGAAGGTCCCACAATAATGTACAGTATTCATATTTCACTGCTGATGACAGAACTTACACATTTTAAGACAAGAAACTAATGTTTTAGTGTCGTCAAAGTTTACTGACCCTGGTATGGTGGAACTCTTCAAGCTGTTTCTGGTAGTTCTCCAGGTCCTGAATGAGGGAGTTCTGGACAAAAAATATCAAAGAACTTGCATTAAATAGTTTAGTTCAAATAGATTATGTATCATGTGCTTAAATTTGGCTTATATTGAGCGGTTGCCACTTTAAGATGATTGTGTGTATGAGCCTTGCCTTGTCCTCCAGGGCAGCCATGCGCTCCTTCAGGTGGAGCTGCAGCCGCTCGTTGGACTCCGTGAGCAAACGATCCACTGTGTCAGATAAACGCTTGTTGTGCTCCTCGTTCATTTTCTCCCTTTGACGAGCCTGATGAGGTGACCCAAGAAAACAACAACGTCACTACGCTCCCTCTTTGATACAAACTCCACGTGGGTGTATTTTGCAGCTAATGAAGCATTTCTGTGCGGATTAAAGGATAAAGAGAGCATTTAGCTCTAGATCACCAGCTACCAGATATAGGTCTACTTGGCCAACATTGGATCTCACAGCCAGAATTGTCCAATTGCCATCATTTATGGGATGATGAGATAAGGGTTAAACAGCTCCTCTTAATCGGGAAATGCTGTTCTCAACATGTAATACTAATACTACTACTACTACTAATAATAATAATAATAATGTGTATGTATTGTCATGTATGTTCCCATACAATGGTGAAATTTGCTCTCTGCATTTAACCCATCCACCCCCAGGTGGAGCAGTGGGCAGCTATTGAAAGCACCTGGGGAGCAATTGGGTATAGGGTATCCTGCTCAGAGACACCACGAGATGTGCAATGACTGGGGATTGAACCTGGGGTTTCAGGTCCCGGGTCGGCTGCCCTGCCTCTACCCCATCTCAGCCGCCCGAGATTTCACAAACATAAAAGTATCACAGACACAAACACACATGTGAATGCTCAGATCGCTCCTTCAGCTAAATATAGTCATGAGATCATGGAGAGAGCGAGAGAAATTAGCAGCGCTTGAATTATCCAGAGTCTAAAGATAGCAGCCAATCAGTCTTAAAGGAGGAGGGGAAAGAGGAGGAGGCAGCAAGATGTGACAAATTTGGTTAGATTTCATGCAACAATGCACTGGTAAAATGACAAATTCTTCTTGAATGTGTGTTTCTGGTGTGTTTGTACGCATGAAGGAGCACAGAGCTGAAAATCAAGACGTCTAGCACATGTGGAGCATCAAGTCCATACAATTAATGTGTGAGGTCAGAGTAACCCTGCAGGGGCACTGCACATGCAAACCACACACACACACATACTCTTGCAAGCTCTTGGTTCTTCTCATCCAGTTGCGACTCCAGCTGTCTGAGCCGCTCCTCCACGTTGCCATGCCGCTCCTCCGCCTGCAGGGGGAGACACATGAAAGCACTGTAAGTACAGTAGCCTCAGCAGTCAGGGCTGTGTCATCCAGTTTATCTGCCTTAACATCAGTGGATGAGAGTTAGCTTGCTTTACCTTGGAGAGCGCTGCAACTCTCTGAGCCAGTTCAGCTTCCACCTCTGGCAGAGTCTCAGCTTTCCTCATGGTCTGAGCCAACCTTTGCTCAGCCATCTCCAGCATCTCCTGCAGCTGGCGCACCTTCTCCTCACTCTAACACACACAAGCAGATTCAAATCACAACGAAGGACATCACTAAACACATCACTCCAAACGTCTATCTCTGTAGCGTAGCAAGGGAGCAGCCAGACGCAGCAGATGGACAGAGATTTTAGGAAGTTGTTGATATTTCCCTTGTTGAGATAAACTTGAGTTTTACCCATGAATATTTGACTAAAATGTTTCTATCATTAAGTTACTGACTATATGCTTTTCATAGCTTTAATTAAGCAGATGGTTGGGGCATTACATATTAAATTATGCAAAAAAGCAGGAAAATATGAAGATAAATCAGTCTAAAAGTAGCCATACAAGTGTATGAGATTTGTACATATTCAATAAGATGCACACGTTTTAAAATGCGCACTACGAGATTCACAGATGCTTAAACAGTTTTTCCAAATGTTCACATTTCAAAAGACACACTTCTAACATGGTGCAATAGCTCATAACTCCTATTTTACAACACACATGCTTTCATTAACATTACTGGATTCTAAAATGTAAACAAATGCAGATAAAATCAAAAGGCGATGCTGTTTTCCAATGGGAAATTTGAAAGTAAGGATCTTCCAGTCATCACTACAGCTGAAGGTCTGAAAATTGAAAACACATCACAGTATAAATATTTAGGATTTTTAGTAGATAATTCTTTGTCTTTTACTTCCCACCTTCAACAGCTGGTGAAGAAACAGATTAAAATTGGGATTTTATTTCAGGATCAGATCGTGTCTATCTTGAGGCTAGAACGTGACTAGTTAGTGCTACTTATGTCTGTACTGGATTATGGGGACATTTTATACATGCACACTCCTCTTAAATGTCTTTATTCACTGGATACTGTTTATCATGGAGTTTTAAGATTTATAACAGGTTTAAAAGGTTTTACACATCATTATACATTATACAACTGGGTTGGATGGACGGCCTTGGCCACTCGTATATTCGTATTTATAAGGCCATACTAGGACTTCTTCCTTCGTATTTGTTGGCCTTTATAAAGAGAAAGTCCATGGAAGGACTCTCTTCATTGTGAGAACTTATTTTTACTTTCGGTGCCTAAAGTCTGAACTGAACTTGGAAAGAAATATTTTCAGTTTTCTGCTCCATCTTCTTGGAACCAGTTGCAGAAATACATGAACCTAAATGAGCTGTTGCCACTAAATGTTTTTAAGGCTGTTCTTACTGATTTGGAGAAGGAATCTGTCTGTAAATATTTTAACTGAGGAATCTTTTAATTAATTTGTTTATGACGGAGTTAACTTTTTCTGTTTTTGCTGTGAATGTTCTAACTCCTGTGCGCTGCTGCCAGTCTTGGCCAGGATTCTCTTGCAAAAGAGATTTTTAATCTCAGTTGGATTTTCCTGGTGAAATAAAAATGTTAAATTAAAAAAACGTTAATTGAGAACTGTATAGGTAAACAACCTAAAATAATCTAGTTATTCTTCGTCTGGAAAAATTTTCAGGAAAAAAAAAAATAGTTGTACAAATACTTTTTCCTAGTAGTTTCTCCACAAGAAGAATAAGCTAACCATCTTTGATGTTTATTTCACATGTACAGTCCACAAAGATACATTTTGTCCTCGTGGAAAAACTACTGGGAATTTTTTGTGTCAACTATACATTTGAAATGGACTACTCGAAATGGTTCAGTTATTCATCCTTTCCAAAACTATACTATTTTTCATGTTTATTTTAACAGTTCACAAAATTAACAATTTTTTCTTTTTCTTCGTCCACAGCGACTCATCCTCCATCTCACTCTGTCCTCTGCATCCTCTGTCTCCAACTACCTCCATGCCCTCTCTAACAGCATCTTCTCTTTGTCTTCTAAAATTAACAATTTCTTCTTGTGGAAAAACCTTCTGAAAAATATATATTTACATATATACACACAATATATTTATACATTGGAGGGCGACTGCTCTAACCACTCAGCCACAGCTGCTCCATAGTGCACGTTGATGTGTGTTACCTGTCTGTGCAGTGAATCTTTGGTGGCCAGTTCATTCTCCAGTTTGTCGTTGAGGTCGTGGATGTGCGTGGTCTCCCGCTGAGCAGCCAAGTATCGTTTCTCTAACGTTGTTATCCTCTCCTCCAAATCTTCTCTCTTCAGGAGCAGAAACAAGACACAAAAAGAACAGTCATAAACTAGTAGTCATGTCATTGTGTGGGCTTGTTTTTCTGTTAGCAAAACATCTCATGAACCAGTGGAAGAAGTTTAATGAAACTCTCAGAAAGTAATCTTTGAGTAAACATCTACAACTGACTAATTTTTGGGGTCAGCTCAACTGAAAATGGACACCGCAGCTAAGTCACCTCAGGAAACACAAAAATGGCTACAATGTATTCAGTTTTATAGGTATTGGGCTAAATATTTGTTGTGGTAGTAGCTGAGAGTCGTGTACAACACACAGTTTGAACACAGTTTCGAAACAAGCGGAAGACAATGGATGGATGGCATGCACACTGGCAGGCAATGTGCATTTCTTCAAGAAAAAAATAATTAATGTTTACATTTTCACTTCATTTTTACTCCCACCTCTCTCTGCTCCCTCTGCTGTTTGATTGACAGCTCCTCGCTGCGGCTCAGTTCTCGACGCGTATTTGCGAGCTCCGCCTCAAGCTCGACCATGCGTGCGTTGAGCGCGGCAGAGTGCTCGCGGCTCTGAGCGAGCTCCTTGTTGGTCCGATCCAGCAGCTCCTGAAGCTCAGACACCCGGCTGCCGTCGTCATTGGCGTCTATAGAGCCGTTGGGCAGCCTCTGCAAGGCCAACACAAAACGAACAATGAAAAAACTGTACACACATTTCAGTTCTGATCTCATCTCATGACTCGGTCATGGTGGTGTAACTTTTCATGCCACAAACTGAAGGTAGTGAGAGCGACAGAAGTGTTGAAGATGTGGGACGACCTACATAAGAAAGTGACGATTTATGAGATGAGTTATGTAAAGTTAGGCTCCCATGTTGTTGTTTTGATGACATTTCTCTTCTCGTTGCTGCTCAAAGTGTCATTATTTCCAGAATCCTAATTAAACCAACCTTCAGGGACAAATATTCTGACTAGAAAAACGATGGGCAGTAGCAAAGTTCAGACGAGCTCCTCTGCTCCCAAACGTTCTCACTTTACCTTCTCATGAATACCATTCAAAATCATAGGCACAAGTACTAATACTGGTGGAAATATGGTCATACAGAGTAATTCAATCCAATTCAATTCTGTTTATTTACATAGTGCCAAGAGACAACAGTTGTCATCTCAGGGCGCTGAACAGAAATTCATATATAAAAATAATAATTTAACACTATTTATCTGAGAAGCAGACTGCTTTGAATTTAACTCCATCACAGAACTCTCATCTTCATTGAATTTTTGACAATTCAGAGAGATCAACAGGACAAAAACAGTCCCAACATAAATCAGGTTCTAGTGACACTTTTAAAGTTGTCTCATCTGACACCGAACCAGAGGTGATACTAGGAACGTTGGTTTGATTTCCCCCAAAATGAAACAATTTTATTTATAAAGAATCCCATGAGGTCATTATAGTTGTAGGGATGCATGAATCAACAGATAGGATTTTTCATTAGACTAGCTAGGGTACTAATAGGAACCTGGGGTTATTTTTATTCTCATCAGTTAAAGATGAATTATATAAAAGTTCTAGCTTTAAGGAGTGCTTTTTTGAGGAATCTTACTTATCCTAGAGAGATAAGCCTGCTAATGTACATTAGCAGGCTTATCTCTCTAGGATAAGTAATATTCCTCAACATTAGTGGAGCGCTATTGTCTTTCAAGCTTTCTAGATGTCTGTTTGAAAGTACGTAACAGAAATGAACCAAGGAGCCAATCTCCTCTGATTGATAACTTTCTTTTTCAGCGGAGCAGCTTTATCGAGTGAAGTTTTCAACGTCATTGTAAAATCGTCAACTAGATGATCTAAGTCACTGTTCTCCGATGTATCACTCTGCAAGACAGAGGAAAACGATGGAAGAGAACCTTTAAATTTTGTTACAGCATTTTCTGAGAAGCGTCTGCTAAGGTGAAATTCACTCTCAGTGACTGTGCAGTCATTGAATGTAAATTCAAAGGTAATTAAAAATGGTCAGACAGAACAGGACTTTGAGGAAATATTACTAAGTTATTAATCTCTATGCCATAGGTCAGAACCAGGTCAAGGGTGTGATGATGAGAGTGAGTAGGTGTTCGGACGTTTTGGGTAAAACTAATTGACTATTAAGTTTTTAAAGCCTATGCTTGAGCTATCACTTTCAGCATCTACATGAACATTGAAATCACCCATTATTATGACTTTATCAGTATTTAGTAGTAAGTCAGTTAAGAATTCAGACAAAAACTGAGCATAGGATCCTGGGGGACGATATATAACAACTAGTGAGTAAAAGTGTAATAAAACACTTCAATTGAGCTTTGCAGCCGTGCGTGACTTCTGGTTAGCAATACGACTAAAATAATGTATCCTTCTAATTGTAGAAATAAGATTGCACACAAATCAGTTATTCAATGGGAAGAAAAAAAAACATTTTACAACCGCATTGCATTTCAGTTTAGTAGTATTTTAAATTAAATAATTCATTAGAAGTTTGAAACTTCTTAGGGCAATGATTGCAAGCAGGACAGCAGGATAATACTGCAAAGTTCACATTTTGTGGCAACTAAGTGAGACATTTTTATGCCTAACAGAAACAAGATAACTGAGGTTTTTTATTTTTTTAAATTTTACACTTTGTGGTTAAAGTCTACAGCTTGTTTTCCTTCCTTATGGGTTATATTCCTTTGAGTAATAGACACGGATAGATATTTCCTCCTTTGTCTGCCTAAACGCCACGTACATGGCAATGAAACTCTTCATTCAGACTGAAACCAACTCTGCTGTTTAATTACAAGACTTGTGTGCTAGATTGATCTAGTTATGTATTTTATATTGAAGTGCTAGTTTTAAACCAGACAGGAGAAAGCTCAGCACGTTTTATCCCTTATAGTTTGCGTTTCCGTGGCTCCTTTCCTCTTTATGTTAGTACTTTTGCATGTAGATGTTTTATGTTTACAATGAACATGAGAAATTGAGATATAAAAGTAATAAGCATCCACAGAGACAAGATCCAAACAGACATAGCACAGGGCCGAAAAAAATAAATCCCACTGCCAGAAAGACCTTCCACGTAGGTTTGGATCCATCTGTTCGCTCCACTGAATCACAGTCTTTCCTCTGCCTCACCATGTTCAACTGTAAATAAATTAAATAAAGAGAAAGAAATGAAATCATGCATTTACAGTGTTTAATTTTTCCATAGTTAATTCTTCAAACAATCCCAGACCTGAGAGAAAATCACAGCTTTAAGCTTAATACTTTTAACTAAAGTTAAAAACCTCCACAAACTTTATTCAGAGGAGAAGGTTTTGCTTCTGTAAAGTAGTTTTATTTTTAATAAACATAGTTTTCAATCTATTTGAGAGGATCTATGTTTTGTTTTCTTGCGTCATCTGTCCTGCCTTCCTCAGTGTTTCTTCCCTCAGGTTGTCCGCTCCTGTCTCACCGGTCCTCAATCCCAGTCACCCCAGGTGTTCATCATTGTGTCTCGTTAGTGTCCTCTATAAGTTCAGTGTCAGTTTGTTTCTTCCCGTTCGGTGGATTGTCCTCGCAAGGTCCTCATGCTCCTCCTTGTCTCTTTGTTCACACGCTCCTGGTTATTTCTGGTAAATTTTGCTGCCACGTCAGCCTTTTTGTTTTCTTGTTAATAAATTAATACATTAATTTTATTCTCGAGTCCTCCGTGTCTGTCTGCAACCTGGGTTCAACTCCAAAACCACAGGTACTACTTAAAAGAGGTACAGCATCTCAGATCTATGTGATATGGGTACCAAGAAGTATTTTACATGTAAAAAGAGCTTTGAACAAACACAATCCAGTTTATTTCTGACCAGACTGATGAAGGCGTAAAGGCTTTCCTTGGGGCCAAGACCCGTATTAAAACAAGTTCAACAGCCAGTTTCATTGAAGATATTTGAAACAATGCTTTTTAAGCCTCGAAACTACCTTTTGTTTAGGATTAATGATTACTGCAGTATATTTATTCTGATATTTCTGCAGGAAGTAGCAAGGGCTGCACAGGAAGTGCTACAGCGAAGATGTAAAAAACGGGAACTTGTTTTATGACAATATCAATCCCCTTTTGTGTTTGTCGTACTAAGCTAGCCGTTATCTCGTTAATCTGATCAGAATTTAATTGCATTTCTCCAAACTGAGGCTGTTCACAGAGCTACCTACAACAGGTAAGGTATTCATTGTTCATAAACTTTATGCATTTCAAAAGATCTGTTTTGAACAAGCTCAGACTTTACAACATATATTTTTTTGCCTGCTTACTGGAAAAAAAACCCCTAAAATATCAGAGTCTAGAGACTGTTTCATGTAAATATTGCACCTATCTTGGATGATATTTAGGTGTGAATGTTTTATGTGTGAACAGGCAGCATGCTCTCATTTAGTGGACACACCATCGGACTGGAAGCAGCTGGGGATCTAGCAGATATTTAATTAACCTAAACTCACAAATATGAACTCAAACATACGTTCAGGGTCACTTTACCTCTTGCGTGGTTGTTGCTAGCTGTCCCTCCAGGGTTGCCACCCTCTCCAGAGACACCCGAAGCCTCTCGCGCACCTGGCAGTCACACCAAAGTTACACCCCGAACAATATTTAACCAAACTGAAATGAACTTTACGACTCTTATCAAAATGTATATTACCCTACAAGAGAAAACATTTTAACTGGAAAGACAATGTCAGCTGCATAGTGCATGCTGCTGCTTGGTGTTAATATAACCGCATGACTACCTCCATTTTGCTTCAATTTAAGCCTGCTAAGTTGTCTCATTTACAAAGAAGACCTTTCCTTCTGACAGTGAAAGAGTAATGAGGCTCATTATCAACGCAACATCAACAAAAACAGGAAAATTAACTAGAGTGGAGGACAGCGCCACGAAAAGGTGGGCATGACGGATCTACCAAGTAGGGAAATGATTTAACGAGGCAAGTTCTTCTTTTTACAGATTTTATGTGCAAAAGCTGAACAAAGTCCCAGGGAGTCCACCTTTTCATCCAGAGCCTTGTGGTGTTCAAACAGCGACTTCAGAGCTTTGAGGACCTCCACCTCGCTGGAGACTCCAGATGGCGGCGGGGCCTGTCTCTTCACTACCGTCATCCTCAGACTGCGCTCATGACGGGACACCAGACACTCCAGGTGCTCCAACAGCAGCTACAGCACACAAATACACACGCACCCAAAGAGAATATTCATTTAAAGCTCAGACCCAGTGTTTGCTTTTATCAGCATGACCCACATATACATACCCTGGTGTTGTTCCTTTCAGCTTTCAGCTCTGATATTTCCTCTTCTTTCTCCAGCAGCTGCTCCCGACAGATGTTTAGCTCCTTTGTCAGGGTGGCAAACTCCTACACAGCAAACAGACACACAACACCGAGGTTAATACGGCATCACATTTTTACAATGGGCGCTACTTTGGGTGAAGTGAGACCAACAGATTTATCTGGTGGCCTGAGGCAGAAGCACCCTGCTGGCAAAATTCAGTCCACAGTGAGAACACGGATCGTGACAGTGGAGAACGCTTGATCACTATCTGACATTTGGGCAAGCTTGAATTATGGACAGGCCAGGCTGCTCTCTCTGAAGCATTCTTGAATGAGAAATTCTCTTAGTAATGTTTTATCTGAACCTGCGATAAGATAAGAGGGAGTTTCAGGGGGAGAAAAATTTCATGACAAGAGTGGAGCAGTATCTGATCTCCTCTACATAGATGTTCTACATCAGTGCCAGCCTCTGGATGACATCCATCCATTAGCTCCGCCAAGCACAACATTTTTTAGAAGTAGAGTTCTGTGAAAAGGTTTTGAACAATAACTGTCTAACCTGTTGTAGATAGCCCTTTGAACAAGCTCGGTTTGGAGAAAGTTTGATTTTGACTGGGCTGAAGAGCTAACAACTAGTCTGTGCAGGGAAAAGACCAAAGTGGATCACCGCTATTTTAAAACAATCTGAGAATTTCTCAACATTTCATGCAAAAGTCCTTTTATATAAATTTAAAATATCACCATCAGTTTTGCATTACAGGGATTTTTGTGCCCCTGGGCTGCTAGGGTTGCAACCTGGCACTTTTTCCAACAGGAAAAAACAAACAAACAAACCAAAAAAACAAAAAACAAAATGGAAAATTGAAAATGATGTACAGTAGTCCCTCATTTATAGCAAGGGATTCGTACCCTGAAGACCCGCGATAAGTGAAAAACCGCAAAGTGATAGTAGTACAAATAGTAAGTAGTAGTTTATTTTAGTATACAGTATATATATATATATATATATATGCGGTTTAAACCCTTCCCACACTCTTGCAATATTCTAAACAATGTTTCTAATCTCTAAACACTCTAAAAGAGCACAGAATGTCTTGATTTCAGCTTCCTGCCTACTCTCAGTCACCTGCAAGCACTCTTGGCCACGCCCACTTCCCCATTCTGCACAGAGAAACAGCTGATCAGCTGCAGCAGGAAGTTTAGAGCTGCACAAAGACAGGAGGAAGCTTTTTCTGCAGCTCTGGCTGCATAAAGATGCAGCAGGTGCTATATAACAAAATAATTTATTTTATATAAAAATTCCCTGCCGATTGTGTGACTCATTCATCAGTCATCCAACTGTGTGTCATGTCCACTCTTATTTTGAAAAACCGCGATACAGCAAGTTTGCGTTAAACGAACAAGAGACTTTTTTTGTTTTTGTACTCATCTGTACTTATCATTTGTACTCATAATCAGGTCTCTGTTGTAAAAGAGTCCTCGAGGCTCAATGGCATTTACCTGTCTAAATAAAGGTTGACTGAATCTACTCATCTCAGGGAGTCACAAACGGGTTAACTGAAACAGCATTTATTTATTTTTTAATTTGGACTTGTTTGAAGATGGCAGCAGTCCACTTTGACTATGGTCTCGTTCAAACTAGCTGGTTTAGTTCTGACCATCAGTCTTGTCAGAATTAAACAATTTCTCCAAACTGAGGTCATTCATAAAGCTATCTACAACAGGTAGGATATTAATTATTTATAACTTTTCTCAAACAAACTAACAAAAAATAAATAAGTAAATAAAACACTTCCAAAAATTAGGATTTTCTTTAACCTTCAAAAAACAGGCTGGATAGAGAAGTGATCATTCTGCCTTTAGCTTTAGTTTAAAACACTTTTCATATTTTGCTTTTCCGTTGTCCATTTTCAGAAATGAATGAAACAAAGAGCTCAGGATGTTTTGAGACTCAGCAGATGACCGCTGTCCTCTTTAAATTATAAATCAAGATGCCATCATGTTATTTTAAACAGTAATTTAAGAAAATTACAACTTTTAAAATCTGCAGCTGAGAGAATTGTCACCTTAACGTAGAAACTTATTATAGCTAGTTACTTTTATTACTAAATGCAGAGCAAATTATTAAGGATTAGAGGTCGACTAAAATATTTTTTCTATGATTGTTGGTGAGCTTTATAAATCAGGATAATTGATGACTGATGTAAAACAGATGTTCTACCTTTTCAAAATACATTTTTGAATACAATATAAAATAATTTATTATATTGTTATGTATTTTTCCATTTAACAAAATACAAAAATTGTTTAACTTAAATAAAGATGTATTTAACAACTGTTAGAAGAGATGTACACCATAAAATAATATACAGTATATAGAGCATTTTGTCACTGTTTGTGGATGGTTGGAGCCCAGAATGCCAACAGGCACAAGGAGCTTAAAGGAATGACTAAAACTTTATTTAAAACAAACAAACAAAGGCTGACATGGCAACACACATATCACAGAAGAGTAAGGACTGGACCTGTGGCATGAGAACTAACGATGTTCTGCTGCGGTTGAGATGGAAAGGCAGAATAAATATGGCTGGTGTGATGAGGAAACTGAAGACACCTGAGCTGAATGGAGATCAGTAACAGGTGGGAGTGGGCGTGGCAGACTGACTGTGGGGGAGTGAGTGATGGCACAAATGGACACAAACTTAAAGAAGGAGAACACAAATGAGTAATCAAACACAGGAATCACAAACCCTAAATAAACACAATCATAAAGTATAAAATAACTGGCAGAAAACCCAAATCATTCTCACCTAAAAATCTCAAATGTGGAGTAAAGTAAGCTGCTGCTGCATCTTCACCTTCCTTCTTGGTAATTGATTAAGTACGCGCAGGTATTGCCACGGGCAGATTTTATAAAGTTGCCAGCATTGGTCGATTAAAGTTGCTTGTTTGACTATAATCGGTCTGTTTCTATGAACTCATGCCTGTGTTGCGTTTTTGTTTTATTGACTTCAGTTATTGTAACAGATTTCATTTTGACAAAAAAGCTCCATGTTTTTCTGATGCATTTTAAGTACTTGAAATATTCTTAAAATATATCAAAAAATTTAAATCACTGGACTGCTGCTAGCTTTGACCTAAACCACAATCATTCCAGACAGGCTGGGATCCTGTCAGTCAGATTTCAGTACTTGTATCATGATGGGATTTTGTACTCTTATTTTATAAATAAAATGATTTTGAGCACATACTATATATATATATATATATCAATGGGCAAAATAAAGGAAATGGGGACTTTTATTCTGAAAAGTTACTGTAACATCATCATCATAGACAGTATTTAAAATGTAGCTATAGAGAATATATAAATCATAAGCTCACACAGATATAAATTGTTAATGTTAAATGAAATTATCACTCCCCCCACCACCACCACCACCACCATCCCGACACAGAGCATTTCCTTTTCTCCTCGTGCACTGACAGCTGATAATATTGTATATTCTGGTTAATTCACTTGCCTAAAGCAAAACCAACACATATGCATGTCTAAAATTATCTGCTATTTTAACTTTAGTCTGCATCAAGGAAGAGTTGCCTCTTGGTGTCTGCACTACTTATATTCTTCACACATGGGAAAAAAAGTCACTTAATACAGGACATGAATATACTGTGCATTAATGCACTCAAACTGACCAGTTATTTACACAAATATTAAAATTTAGATCAGAAACAGCCAGAAAACACCCACCAACTCATGAATCTTGCATTTCTTTTGATCCTTCCTCTCATATTCTAAGTACAAAGCAACAATAAGGACCAAAAATGGGGGAAGAGAGGGGAAAGGAGCAACTCGAGGAAAGGGGAAAATAGGTCAGCTTGTTCATTTTACTTTTCCTTATTCCACTGGGGTGCACCAATAGACAGGAGCTCAGCCAAAATCCACCAACAGATGTTTGAGCTCACTGTCTCTTTCAATCAGGGCAAAAAGGCTCAACAGGCCACCTTTAATTCATCTCCGCAGTCCCTCATCCCTCTGCTTTTCTCGAGCTCTCCTCATATCAAAAACACAAGGAGGAGGAATTTAAATAAAACTAATGAAATTGCATTTTCTACAAAAATGCATTGTGAATGCTTATTGCTGAAGAACTTGCTGAAAAACAGCTGAAAGTTGCTAAAAACATGCTGAAATGTAGCTGAAATGGAAGAACAAGCCTAAGTTAGCAGAAGAAAGCAGAAAGAACACATTTGTTGCATGCGGTTTAAATAAGCAGATATCAGCTGAAAAAAAAAGCAGAAATGAGCAAGAAATAGCTGAAAAGTAGCTGAAACGGTAGAAAGAAGCTTAAATCACCAGAAGAAATTAGAGAGAGCACAGTTGGGCCCTTTGGCTGAAAGAAGCAAAATGAGCAGATAAAATTGGAAATTATCTGAAAAAAGAAGAAATGTGCTGAAAGAAACCTAATAAACAGCTGGAAGATTAAAAAAAAAGCAGAAAGAAGCGTAAATTACCATAAGCTAGTGGAGAGAGCAAGATTTTGCTGAATTAGACTGAAAAAAATTTAATGAGTGCAAAAAAATGTAGAATAGGCCTAAAAAGTTAAAATACCGTAGTATAAAAACAGCTAAATAGTAGCTGAAATAGCAAAAATAGCTGAAACTTGCAGAAATAAGCTGAAAGGAGCAGAACAAGCTGAAATTAGTTGAAATAAGTTAGAAGAAGCACAAAAAGGTTATTCAATTCAATTCAATTCAAAAATACTTTATTAATCCCAAAGGGAAATTATTTGTTGTTGTAACTCAGTATAGTATATATAGCGGTATAGTTAGCAGAATAAATCTGAAAGGAGCACAAAACAGCTGAATAAAATGCTGAAATTAGATGAACGTAGCTGAATTTAAAAAAAAATGCACAAGGAAGCTGAAAGAAGCTGAACCAGAACAGAATGTGAAAGGAGCAGTAAAAGGTTGTAAACAGATCTAAAGATATGAAGGATGTAAAATGAGCTCAGTTCATTTTCAATGGGGGAAAAGCGGCAGAAAAGGCTAAATGTCTCAAAAAGCTAAAGTTGCACCAATAG